TGAAACTTTCAATCCTTTAACGCTGCTAAGTATCCTAGCAAATTCATGAACAAAATCTGTTTTCAGCTCTTTGGAAGCAACATTTGACACCACTGTATATCAAGATGCATTTAACATTTCAGTTCTGAAAGTTATTCTGGTTTTTGAATGTCAAGACTTTAAGCCAGTTCCTATTAGGGATTCTGCAATAATGTAATTACCTTTTTCTTTATTTTGTCTTCTTTTTTTTTTTTTAATAGTCTCGAATGCTACAGCAAAATCAAGCAAAGACACAGGATATGAGTTAGATTTTTTGGGGGATACAAAACTCTCTGGCTCATGCAGGAAGAAACCTTGTAGCAGAGCCTTGTGAGAATGAAGAATACTAACACGCTGACCTTCTCATGTGATAGAAATTGCATGATTAGAGTCCTTGTGAAATTCATGACTGAAATCTCTATATTGACTCCCTTTATTGAAGTTGTCACTGCACAACTTAGGAAAGTGGTTTCATCTTTAAATTAGGGCACTGGCCTTAATTACCAGCAAAAGAGTCTAAGTGCTCATACAGTTGTAGTTGTGGGGGAAGAATTAGTGCTGCTGTGGGTCAGCTGCCACGTTCCTGTTATTGTTGCTTAGACTAGTAGTGCAATCATTCAGAGATTATAATAAACCTCAGTGTAGACCCAGCTGATGAACCTGGTAGATCAAGAGGATCCTCAGAAGAATCCCTTGTCAAACGACTTATTGAAGGATGTGTAGCTCCGTTTCTCTCTGTAATGTGGCAGCAAGGTTTCCCTCTGCTGCTTCCTGTGGTTTCCCTCTGCTGCTTCCTGTAAATCAATGTTCTTGGCAAGGAGATGGACTTAGCATTGGTATAGTTCAACATGGAGGAGATGAGCATTGCTGAGTTTACCACAGTCCATTGGAGATCAACATGGCCAAAGTTGGGCATATGTTTGAAAAAGTGATTTAAGTACACTAGACAGCTTTGTAACTTAAGGCAATGCATTACCAGTGGCCACTGCACACTCTTTTCCTTTTTAAGTCATCAGTACAGATGTCCTGTTTTCACCTACTCTTTGTGTTCATATTTCTTTGTGGATTTTTCACCAAAAAAGATGCTTTATGGTGTTCTTGTTTTCTTGTAAATTTAAAAAGATGTTGTAATTCTTCCTTATTCCTGAGAGCACATAAGAGTAATTTTGTATTTTCTAGTAATCAACGTAAATCACAGGTAAATCTATTTTTATAACAAAGCAGCTTTCATTCTATCTTGTATTTACATCCTGATTGTTATGTCTTCCAGTTATCTACCTATTCAAGGTTCTCAACCAAAGAATTAGGTGCTTTTAGAATTAAGCAGTTTCTTCTTCTTCCTTTAAAAAGGGACAGGACATATTTCTCTCAATGCATGTTGTTCTGTTTTCAGCCAGTAATCATCACTGAGACCACTTTAATTAAGAAAATACAATTGTATGAAATTAACTCATGAGCCAGTATCATTTATAATTCTATCCCATGAATAATTCTTTTAGTAAACTTTAAACACAATTAAAATTAAATTTTACAGTGCGTATTGGAAATTATTGTCTAGCATAAACACTGAATTATAGTTAGAATAAATTAGAATCTGCTTTCTTCATATGTGGAGATCGATGTAAAGCTTACCAATCATAGCTACATTTAATAAATACAGAGTGACAGCAAACTATACTTCATGATTTTCTACCTCTTATTTGGAACAATTAACACAGCATGAAATTCTAATGTCTGACTTTGAAAAATTACTACCAGTTGAACAGATATGTATTCTTACAGTTATATTCTACTGAGAGGGGAGGAGAAAATAAATATACTTCATATAAGTGTATCTGTAAGTTCATAATTATATAGAGTTATTGAATACTAAAAGTGGTAGGAGTCTGTGCTTTGTTGCTGAAGGTTTGAAGTCAAACTGTGACAACGAATGTCGGAAAGGATTGTCGCCTACACAACCCCTTCTTCATTATATAGGTGTATAGCAAATATAACTTCTTATAAACATAACAATTCATGATATTAAATATAAAAACATCAAACAAGTCAAAGCTAGGTTTGCTATGTAGCCTCACTTTTTCTCCCACTCTAATTTTTTCTTTCCTTTTCTTTTGCACACATACACTATGAAATTGTCATTAGTTGCATCATTGCATAGTCTTCTTTTCCTAAGGGACTTCCACATCATTCACAGTACAGCCTTGATGTGTAAGAGCAGAATGAAAGTTGCACCAGCATTTTTGCATTAGGAAACAATATACTTACTTTGATTTATTTTAATTATTTGCCTTTGCAGCCTAAAAATATTTTTTACATAATTATTTTGATGTAGGTAAATCAAAGTAATTTAGTGGTAGTTTAGTATTTATTTCTTTGATATGCTTAGTGTGGAATTTAAATAAACTGGAACCCTCAATTTTTCAATAAATTTTCAGAGAGGTACACACCTGATGATATGAATGTTATTCTTAATTTCAAAAGGTGTTCCGAGAAGTCTTCACTGAGTTCTTGAAGGTCAAGAAAGTTCTTGAACTTCCTGTTGATATTGCCAGGTATGTCTTTGGGAATAAACATGTAGCATTTCTATAATTAATAACGAAACAAAATATTGTTTAACCACCCAGCTAGTTATGTACAATAACAGATTGCACTTTTATTAATGAAAAAGTCAACTATATTTCAAAATTTCTTAAAACAAATCTAGTAGTAGGATTTTTGTATGTATCATGAATGATATAATGAAACTTTTATAATGGCATCCAGTCCAAAAATAGTTTACATTCCACATCCATCACATTTTCTTGCCAATTAATCAGTTTAAGCATACTTTTGATGCCAGTGTTTATTTTTTCTGGAACACAGGAAGTAGCCCATGTATATATCACAAATTCACAAAGGATCACAGAATTCTTGAGGCTGGAAGATACCTATTGAGATTGTCTTCTCCAACCCCCCTGCTCAAACAGAGTCAGCTACAGCAGACAGCTCAGAGCCACATCCAGTCAGATTTTTAATATCTCCAAGGATGGAGACTCTGTAAGCTCTCTAGTTAACCTGTTCATTGTTCAGCTACCCTCACAGTAAAAAAGTTTTTTCTTACTTTTGAAAAGAATTTCTTGTATTTCAGTTCATGCTTACTGCCCCTTGTCCTGTCACTGGACACCACTGAGAAGAGTCTGTCTTCATCTTTATTTCCCCACACCAGCTGCTTAACACACTGGTAAGATTCCCTTGAGCCTTCTCTTCTCCATGCTGAACATCCCAGCTCTCTCTGCCTCTCCATCTATGTCAGTTACTCGAAGCCCTTAATTATCTTCATGCTCCTTTGTTGGACTTGCTCCAGAATGTCCACATATGTCACTTTGTTGAACTTCATCAGACACCTGCCTGCTTATATATCCAACCTGTCAAAGTCCGTCTGAATAGCAGCACAACCATAAAGTGTGTCAATGACTCTTCAAAGCTTTATATCATCTGCAGTCTTGCTGAGGGTGCACACTATCCCATAATCAGGATCGTTAATGAACACATTAAACAGTATTGGCCCCCCTGTTAACCCCTGGACTACACCCAGTGACTGGCCTCCAGCTGGAGATATATTGCCACTAATCACAATCCTTTGAGTCTGGCAGTTCAGGCAGTTTTCAGTCCACCTCACTGTCCATTTATGGGCCAGTACCTTACCAGTCTGTTGATGAGAATGCTAGACAAAACAGTGTTGAAAGACTTGCTAAAGTCAAGATAAACAACATCCACTGTTCTCCCTCATCCACGGAGCTGGTCATCTCAACATAGAAGTCTATCAAGTTCGTTAAGGAGGATTTCCCCTTCACAAATCCATGCTGGCTATTCCCAGTAGCGTCCTTGTCCTTTGTGTATTTCAGGAGTGGCCTATGAAGAACACCAACCAGCTCGGCCAGCACTTGTGAGTGCACCCCATGAACTCCCATGGACCTAAGTATATCCAATTTCTTTAAATGTTCTCTAAACTGTTCCTCGTCCACTGAGGGTAAGTCTTCCTTGCTCCAGACTTTCCGTCTTGTCTTAGTAACCCTGAATTCCCAAAGGTTGGTCTTACCAGGAAAGACTGAGGCAAAGAAGGTGTCAAGGACGTCTTCCACATCCTTTGTCACCAAGAAGATGTAAAATTGATATTTTGCCATAGCTGATCAGCTAATCTTTTTAATAGTAGCACCTCTGAAATGTTTTTGGGGTGAAAAAATATATAGGAGGGAAGTAGAATATCAGTTTAAAAAATCATCAAATAAACCTGTTGGAATCAAATGGAGATTTTGCCCTCTTTAGTACAGCAGAGTAATAATTACTATTTTAAATGAAGTTTCCTATGGATTTCCACTCTAAACGCTTTCCTAAATATTTCCTTCTGTTATTTGATCTTTGCCTTTTGCTGATTTTTAAAAGTCTAAGAATTGCATTTAGAGTATTTCTGAGAGTAAGTCGGGGAAAACAATAAGATCTTTGCAATGTAAAAGACTGACCTATTTTTGAACACTCTTCTGAAAAGACCTGAGTCTTGCAAGTGGAAATCTGACACAAGAATGGCACTTTTTTAAAAAAAAAAATCTTATGGTGGAAGTAATTGTCTTTGGTTTGAATGAATGACCATTTAAATCATGTATTGAATTGTTGAGTCTCTCTCTCCATAGGCTGAATGTACCAGCACAAAGTCCTGCAGCATCCAGCCATAGACATATGGATTAAGTTTGCCTGTTTTAGCAGTATCAGGAAGGAAAGTGCCTGCAAAACTAGTTTGTGTTTTTCTGTGAAGCAGCAAGAGCAGAGGGTGCTCACTGAGATGACAGGGAGGTGAGGACCTGAGCAAGGCCAGCAGGTCAGACCTTGAGGTGGTGGCCAGATACAACCAGGAGTCCAGATCATAATAAGTACCATGGTCATGAAGCAAGTGTGAGGTCAAGCTGGGGACTCAGTCTATAGTGGCAAGGCTAGGACCAGATTCAGCGATGGTTGGGCAGGGCCATGGTGACAGGGATGGATGGGATGTCAGCGTGCAGGTGGGGGTCAGGATCAGACCCAGTAAGAAGAACCAGGGTCAGACACAGCCTGTGATGGTCAAGCAGGGCCATGGAGACAGGCACAAGCCAAGGCCATGCCAGGACATCAGCCTGTGGGTCAGGACTGGCTCAGCAGGATCCATGGCTGGGCAGGGCAGGGCTGTGGGGAGCTAGAGACCAGCCCTGCTGTGGTGGCACTGGGGTATGGACTGACAGAACTGGGAGGGGACAAAGGATGCCATGGGGATGCTGGCAGGGCTGGTAAAGCCTGTTGGTGCCCTCTA